TAAAAAATTATGAGCAAACAAATGCAGTTAGTTAATGTTGAATACCTGTTGTCTCTCTTCTTTTTAAAGTTGAGACATAAATAAACGAAGCATAATAATTTTTGATTAGATAATTAAGTTCAATTATCATCCTTCACAGAGGTCTTTGATCATTGAATTGATGTAATTGTTTATTAAAGGAGTACATACACATTATTCGTTCATGATCTTACATTTGCGTTTGCATCGCAATATTAGTAAAAATAATTTAGTATGTTTGGGATGACCTCGGGAAATAATCAAAGCAAGAATTGATAACACTAATTAAAGTCAACACACTGCCGCGCTTTGAAACGTCAAAGGGTGAATTTTCTGATATTAAGAGTAGGGTTAACTGATTATTAGAATATAATTATATTACGTACATGTATAAAGATGTGCTAATCGATCGAAATTTGTTTTCTTAATTTAAAATCATTGAAATAAATTATTGTTACGAAATGTCCAGCCGCGGCAAGAGAGCTTCCCCGCAAGGCGCGTTTAGGGTTGCTATATTTGGCGAGAAATCGCCCATTTGACGACAAAATTGGCGGTATGCCGGAGACGGATGGAGAACATTCTATAACGAATTCTTTCCGGTTTGGCCCAGAATGTTCCCGAAGGCAGGCCCAAAGCTATATAAACCATGACTACGCGGAGCAGCAATCCATCGTAGCGTATCGTCGAGTGAATCGTATATCTCGCAGAATATTGCGAGTTGGTGCATCGAGAGTTTATATCGTTGAGGCTGTCATCGAGTGCATCGCGAGTTGTAGCGTGAGTCTCGAGAGTACATTGAGTTCCGAGAACGACCGAACCGGATCGGGAGCTCTACTCTAGTGCTTTGCGTGAAGTTGTCTTCAGTGTTATAGCCGGATTGCCTAAAGGCTGTGTTGCTGATTGTTTCGGCGTGTTTGCCATAGTTTTTCGACGACTGTAAACGGGCTTTTGGATCTGTCCTTTGTAATACTGGCTAAATTATTTAATAAATTGTGTTTACATTCTTCATCAAGTGTTGTCGTCAATCGCTCCAAAGCCACGAACCCGTAAAAACGCAACAATATTATTATATGACAATGGGATGTTGGAATTTACTGATGATAAAGTTTGAATACGATTTTAAATTTATTAATTTTTTATTGAAAAGAGATATGTAACAAGCGAGACCTGTGATAAAAGTGCAGTCAGTGTGTTACATCTAGGTCAGAGATTTCCAATCCTTTTCTTGTATCGATCCGTTTTAAATAAATGCGTTTTTTCCTCGACCTCCTTGCGGTCGTCTTTTTAGTATGCAGCATACAACATAATTATAATATAAATAATTGCATATAAATAACTTAAAGATAATAATCAGACTAAAATGGTTTATTAGACTTATTATTTTCTGTATTATTATTATTTTTAAATTTGCAAACATTAAGAAGTTTTCAGAAACAAAAATCACAGATTCAGACTGCACGAAAGTTTGATTTTAGTTAATGTTGCTGACTGCGCTTGATGTATTAATGAAATTTTCTTTTTAAACATTTGGCATAAAATTGCTCAGTTATCTTAAATTATCTCGATTAAAAAACATGAACCTGTTTTTTGTTTTTCATAGTGAATTATCCACTCGACTAAATTTGGAATATTTCTCTCCGATGACTTAGCATATCCAAGTGTTTTGAATAAGACTTGGGCTTGAAAATATCCTCTTTCAATGCAATCCTCTTTTTGCTTATATCTATATTAAATGGTATGCTTACTACATGATGTAGCTTTACATCAGTATACAATTAATTAATTATCAGACGCATATTCGGCTGTCGACCTCATGATCAACGTTGATTCCCTTTAGAATTTCATCAACTCCCAGGAAGGCGGGGGGGGGGGAGAATCTGTGTTCTAAATCATCAAGAAAATGTTGTGTTTGAGAAGAGGAGGGATGTTTTAAGTTCCGTGCATGATTCCTGAACTGCGCATTCTTTAAAGACATATTCATGTGGCATACCTGACCTAGGTATGGTGTTTACTGCGTTGAAAAGAACGCGATATTTCCATTATTATCTTTTCGTAAACAAACGTATTACCTATCTAGATATCCCAAAATATTACACCCGCACAACTCACTTTCATATAATAAAATACACTTTTATCTTTGGCAGGCCTTTTTTGTTTTTTTATTCTTTCTGTTCGTGGCAGGTCCGCGAGCGTACCTGGCTGGTAAGGTGTGTGGGCCTTCTCGGTGAGGGCCTGGGAAAAGGATGACCTTGGCCTCGCTCGGGCAATTCGCCAAGTTCGCGATCGATGTTTATTGTTTCCTTGCCTCACTATTTCTAATATTCCTTATATACACATAAAGAAACCTAATAAAAGGCATATATATATCAGATTCGTATAAAATATTTGTTTTCCTATAAATACACTTAAGCATCTTTCTGTTTTGTAGTTAGTGTACAGTATTTATAAAATCTTGTGTTTGCCAATAAAACTGTGTTGGTCTATTACAGCGATTCTCAACCAGTGTACGCATAACCACCGGCGGTATGCAAGAGAAAAGTAGGGGGTACGCAAAGAAACAAAATATTTCTATTAAATTCAAAAATCTCGTGAAGAAAAAGAAAAATTGATAGAAATTTTCTGTGATTGAACTGAAGATTTCAAAAATAACATTCTTGTTAATTTTAGGCTGAACTGAAAAAAAAAGAATTTAAAGGCATTTCAAAAAAGCTGTTAAATTTTTATTCCCTTTTCGCGCAACCTATTTGTGTGAACAAGGATTTTCTTCAATGTTATAATTGAAGAGGGGGGGGGGAATAATCATACAGAACAAAATTAAAAGTGGATCCTAATTTATGGTTAAAGCTAAGTGAAACATGACCAGACATAAAGAAATTGATCTCTCTTAAACAGGCTCAGATTTTACAATAAATTTTAGAATTACAGTGTTATAACTTAAATTTTGATAATTAAAATGGTAACCAAGTTTTAATCTAATATTTTTATGTGCGCATATCTAATACAAATAGCCAACAGCTTGTGCAAATGGCAATATATATTTTTCTTAATATTTCTATTGAGAAATTGAAAAATAATCATTGTAAAATGGAATGGTGGTACTGAAGTATTTTATTTTTTTTTTAGATGGTTCGCGTTAGTGAAAAGGTTGAGAACCGCTGGTCTAGTGTAGGGGGGGGGACTTGTAAAAAAGAAGCACTTCTGTTCTTCAGATAGCTCAAAATATTCATACCCTTTTAAGATTTGCTGTTTAAATTTAAAGTGCGATTATTCAAATTTTTGAATTACAATAAAATTATGATAAAATTAAAACCATAGTTACCAGTTTGTCAAAATTTTGCACTTGATGAATAGGATGTTCATTAATCGTTAGTAGCTCTTGTATTAAATAACAATGAATGGAATTATGCATCTTTATTTAAAAAAAAAAATAATGGAACCTCCGAAAATATTTCATGGAGCCTTTGCGAAACAAGTTTGGATATTTCTTTTGTGGGGATCACACATTTGTAAACAAAGGAACATTTATAGTTATGCGACGTGACAAGTATGGAGAGCAGTAATCAGCCAACCAATTAATGACTCTTCGCGCAAAAAATCTGTCCTTTTGTTTATCGCAAAAATCAAGCAGCCGTGAACCCATTGTCGATGAAGAAGGGGGGGGGGAATTGAACCTGATTTGTCTGATGAGATTTTAGCTTTCTGTGTGGTTGTGAGCTTCCCTACGCATTTAATCGCTTTCCTAACAAAGCCGATGGATTGCATTCCATAATTGCAACAAAAGGTCAAATAATAATTATCTCCACATTTTTGTCACGCACGGTATCATTTGCATCCAAGCATAGTCGGTTTAATAGACAATCCATTAAAACAAGAATAGAAGAGGAGAATATAGTGTCCTCCATGGGAAAGGGAAAAGAATTGGGAGTTCCATCGCTATTGTTGGGAATTTGTTCATTGTCATTCTGTATAGTACTCTAAATATGAGAGAATCTTTTAAGTGTTTATTAGAGCTTTGTGTTGAAAGAAGCTTCAGGGATTTGGGAAGACGGCGTGCTTACTGAATTTTGATTTTTCAGTAGTCTATTTTTTTTTAAAAAAAATTTCCTAAGGCTATACAGAAAAACTTTAACAACAGCATTATAAGGTAAATAATATAATAAAAATAATTACTGTTTCGTTTGTTTAAGCACGATATATTTGTGTATTTTTTTAAAAGAATGTTACTGAAAATGGCAAGTTCTATAAACTTCTATAAAATGTATGTCAAGGTGTCATTCTTTCAGTATTGCATCAGTCTCATGGATACTACATTTTCCACCGCTTTAATAATTCATAAGTTACGCAAGGAAGATATAGTATCAGCTATGATTTTCATACTTGGATATGACTATAAGTTGCTAAAAGTTATGTTATTGGTGGTATATTTCAGGTTTCATTCTCGGCTACTAAATGAGCTAATTGTATGAATTTTCCTCATCTGTTTACATATTAAATATAGGCTAGTTTGTTTCCCTTAGAAAATGTTCCACGTGCATACATATTGCCTTAAAATATTGTTAATCATATAAAAAGAATAAATGAATCATATAAATATATTTACTTTTTTAGAAGGTAGCACTAGTTTCACAATAATAATAACAAAAATTTTTTGCAATCCCTAATCAATTATTACTATAAAACTTAACCATAAATGTCATATTTTTTCAAGTTTGATTATAACACATGAAAAAGAATACAATTCATCTTTTACTTTCATTGCTGCACTTAGTGAAAGCATATCGTGTGAATTCTAGTAAAAGTAAATAAATGCTCATAACTGATTAACAATGCTTAGTGTTCTTAGCAGATTCTTTGTTCTGAAAAATAACTGTGTTTATAAAAGTAATTTGTGTATACTAAATATGCATATTTTAAAATTTAATTAAATAATTTAATGTAAATATTAGTTTATCTAAAATTCAGTGATTTTTTTTCCTCCCCAGATGTTAAATTTTCTATGTATCCTCCTTCCACGATTGCTGCTGCAAGTATTGGAGCTGCCATTCAAGGGTTAAGAGCACGTCTTGATATACAATGGTCTTCACCCAGTGAATTACTTTCCAAATTACAAGCAATCACTGGTATAGAAAGAGTAAGTATGATGTATGAATTTTATTCCGTGGAGTTATATGTGCAGTTACCTTTTTAAGTATAACAATAATTAAAGAAAATTAAAATTTATTTTTGATATTTAGAGTACTATTCTATAAGCCTTAAGAATATTTATTTGAAGGTTTCTACTATTCAATTTAACTTTGATGGTAATACATAATCAAACTTAAATTGAGCATGTATTGATTGTAATTGCCAATTGATTTAAAAAACTGAAAATACAGCCTTGACCAATTTATTTCATATTTGTGTAATTTAAACGACATTTACATTTTTGCTTTTGAAAATAAATAAAAAAAATCATGGAAATACTTTTTGAATCTTTGTTAAAAATTCTATTTCCATTTTCATCAGACATTTGCTTTTTTTTAACCTTATTCAAATTTACTATGCAGAATATGAACATAATAGGAGCATTCCTATTTTGCCTATTATAGTTAGTTAGTTATTGGTATTAAGTTGGTAAATTTAAAGAAAACATGGTTTAAAAAATTTGAAAACATAAGGGACCAAGATAATACTTTCTTTTTACTTTAACATTTCATTGCTTGCATCATATTATAGGCTTATCTATATATTATACACATTCATCTAAATTTATTTAATAGCTTCTTAGTTTAATAATATATATGTGTGTATTATTCAAAAAATTAAAAACATGTAATCAATTAATAACAAACTAAACTTCAAGTGCAAATCAACTTCAAGTTCAAATTCAAAACAGCCTTCAAGTGCAAATTATGAGGATAATTAGAATAAATTTCCACTGCTGTAAATATTTTGTTATATATATGCTACAATTTATTTCCCTTTCCATAGCATAGTTAATAGTAATGGATGTATTTGCAACAGTTGAAACAAATATGTGACAGATGAACTATTTTGTACACATATCTGTGAATCGAGCAATGGAATGATAACAAAAATAATTAAATGGCATAAACTTGTACCCTAATGAGAACTAATACTTACATATAACTCTTTTTTCTTACAGGACTGTTTGCGGGCATGCTGGGAACAAATAGAAGAAACCATAGTCAGTCGCATTGCTGCCGCTACTCGAGCATCTCTGAATTCATTAGGCTTGTCAACTAATCATAAACTTGCAGAACAAGAAATGGGTTCATTGGGCATTATTCAAGCTGAAAATCCACCTGATGTCCAAGACGTGTTGTTTTAATTTACAGTATTTAAAAAAACTAATGACTAAAAAATTGTAAAAATTGAATTGCTGTGTGCTGAACTAAGAAATGGTAGGAATAGTGAAAGGACACATAACTTATTGCTAGTCATAGAACTTGACCGTAAGATGGATTGTGAGTGGAACAACAGTTGTCCTAAAAGCATACTTAGGCTGTGGTTCAAGAATTTTAAATTAAATATCAAGTTATAATAAGCTGCTACTTGTCCTAGTGGAAGTATTTTCCATTCACCACATACATATTTTCTTTTGCCATACAGTCTTTCCTGTTTTAGAGTATTAAATTCTGTTTGCATTTATGATACCATATTTGTAAAATGGTATGGGAGGAAAAAAAGTGTTTACTCTCTTAATTTTAGTAATTTATATTCTAAAACAACAGTTGAAAACTGTATGGTAAATTTTCAAGGGTCAATGGTCAGTTTTGTACAAAGTGTTTTCAAGTGGTAGTTATCCATTCCATTGCATAATTTCAAAACATTTTGCATTTTTTAATTATACACTAAATATTCGTACAGGGACCAAATTTTTTCATAAGAAATTGTGTGATGGAATTAATTTTTTTATAATGGTAAAAATAATTTTGTATATAAAGTCTTAGCATTTGTTAATCACGCAATTTCTTTTCTGGATGATTATTTTTGATAAACTTGTTATATATTGAGTACTTTTTGAAGATATTAACATTAAAGTGCATTATGTAGCATTTAATAAATCTTCAGAGATTATTAAATGTGATCATGTACTGTTTATATATCATAAGTTTAAATTATGCCATTGTATCACCCTGACTGATACAACAGCAATTGCCATATCATAGTTTATATGCAATAAAGTGTTCATAAGTAGTTAGTATTTTCAAGTGCCTTGCCCATTCACGAAGGATCTTATCATCATCTACATTTTGATGTTTTATACATTTTTAGCTGAAAGATTTAATTCACTTGTTAAAAATACTCATTTGATTAATTTTATAAGTACCTGTTTTGTTGTAATGTTCAGAGTTAGTATTAAAATTTCAAAATTTTTTATTATTGATGATAAATATGCATTTAAATATTTTAAATCATGTTTAACCTGCATTTGTTACTAAACAACTTATTTTATTGCATTTACTTGTTATGTGAAACACTAAAGTTTTCTCGTCCATCTTTGGTCAAAATATTTTCCAAAATTTTTTATTAGGTTTTAGTTTTTTTAGACTGATTAAGACTAAGACTGATTTAATCATTGCAGTCAAATACATTATACAGTCAAATATAGTCAATCTAGTCTTAAATTCCATCCGTACCATGATTGTGCTACAGAATTCAATATACGTAAAGCTGTGCAGTACAGAGGATGTGTGTTTAGTTGAAAAAAAGTACATTATAAAATTAATTACTTGTAAGCAGACTCTATGCTGAGTAAGCTGAAGTTGTAAATTTTTGTATAAATTTTAATCAAATTTGTGCTTTTTAAGTTATTACTATTTAATTACAATTTGGCTTTTTATTTTTCTGCTATTAACATCTGTCCTGTGAAAATAGAATCTCAGGAATGCAAAAGTTGCCTTGTATTGTTGGTTAATAATGCTCTTTGGATTACATGTGTGAATGTTTTTGCAGGTTAAAAAAATATGTGCAGCATATTACACAACTGTATATTTTAATGTTAAAATGCCTTTACTGTTGGCCTTGCATTTATGCATTATGAAACATACTTAGGGAATGTATAAAGATTTTTCTAAGTTCCAGTCATACTGGAAAAGTTTCATCATGCTTATATACTATAAGAAAATTTTGAATGCTTTGTGAAACTGTTTATCTTATAATGCTCTTATGCTACAGATAAAATGTGTGCATGTGTGAATGTATGCTGATAACTTGACAGTTAAATATTATTACCTAATATCAAGAGGTTGTAAAAAATTCAGAAATCAGGGAAGAAAGCCTGCAAGTTATCTGTTCCTACCTCTGAATGTGTAAAATATTTAAATGGCTTAAAATATATTGTGGTCTTGTATGGTGCTCTAAACTGTATATCTTTTACTTCAATCTGTCTAAAATTTGCATTTTGTGTGTGTTAAAACAAAGAAAAATTTTCAAAAAAAAAAAAAAAAAAAAAAAAATAACTGGCATTTTGCATTACTTGGCCAGTTTTCTGTAGTAGTTAAAAATAAGTGTAGATTGTTTGTTGTTACATTAGTTAACCCTGAATTTGACCTTGTTCCTTGTAAAAATTGTTTTTATACCAATTATATGTAGTCATGTTATATAAAAATAATCATTGTACTTCTTTTCCTGTGGGAATTAAATTCCTTGAAAATTCTCATTTTAAAAAATTTCAGCTATGTTATCATAGTTTATTGTTAATCAAATTGTTATAATGTTAAAAAGTAGCATCTGTGATGAATCTGTTTGAAGTGATATTTAAAACACATTAGATTTAAAAAAAGAATGTAAAATATTAATTCTCATTTTAGCAAATATTAAATTTTATACAATTTTTTATTGAATCAATTTAAATTTGTATTACATTAATTCCAAAATTAAATTATTTTAGTGAAATTTTTATCAGCTTTTAAAATGTAGAATTTCATATATCATTCAGAATTTATGTGCAAGAAAGGTGAAATAAAGTTCTTGAAATAATACAAAAGGGAGAATTACCATTAATTATTATTAATTACATTGTATTAAACATTACCATTACATTGTATTCAGAATTAAATGAAATAATAAATAATTGCAGATTTCTCAGTTAAATTCTCAGTCTACAGACAGAGAAGCTTAGAAATTTTCCAGTTGGCATTTACTTAATTACATTTACCAAATTAAAGGGGGAACAAAAATAATTTATTCACTCTGCCTTTTTAAAAAGCTGATAAATAAATGAAACATCCTACGTCAACCAAATTGTCTCAATATAGTGCATGGTTTCGAGAACACGTGCAAAAAAATAAGTGCCTTAAATAATATAAAATTTAATTTTAATGAAAAATAAGGCATTTCTTGATGTGAAACAGACTGAGGAACACAGCACTGCCAACATTTGGAAATTATGAAAATGGAAAATGTAGTCTTTTAGTTTGTGAAAGTTATAAGCAACATGCTTCATATATACAAAAAGATTACTTTTTTAAAACTAATTTTTAAATTTCTGTGACATGATTAGATTGAAAGTTATGCATCAAAGTTATGAATTCCGGTTATAAAAAATTAATTGTTTTCATAATTCTCAATTTTTTTAAATGATTTCTGAGCAATATATTGGAATTCTGATTTTTAGCTTTTATAAATATGTGTCATTATTGCAATAAGTTTTATGTCAAAAAAGGAACTTTTCCAGGATATGCAGTAAAAGGGAGAGTATGTTTTATATTTTCTATCGAAAGAGCCTTAATTTAAAAATGATAATTTTTTGACATAGGCCTTAACACAGTAATGATAATTCTAATTGTTACAAGGTGAATAATCATACAATGCCAAAAAAAATGTATTTTACTATTATGTTTAAATAGCAATTTTAAATTGACGAAAATAAATTAAAATGTTTTTATTATTTTTGGTACGTTTCAGTACTAGTTTTTTTTTCCAATTATGGATGCTAATTTGAGACAAAAGCATGCTAAGCAATATTTATATTTTTAAAAAACATTTTCATAAGTCATCTTTGTTTTTATATTTTCAGTTTCCATTTCATGTTCATACTTATAAAAAAAATACATTCAGGTTTTAAACCTGAACATTTATGCAATTTTTAAGTGAAATATTTGATTTTTTTTAATGTCTCAGTATAAAAATGGCAATATTTGTATGTCATAAGTATTGTATAACAGTTCATCAAATGCTGGTATCTGTTATCTGAAATTACAAATTTAAAGTGCAAATAAAAAATTCAAGTATTAATTAAAAGGATCTCTTGGCTTCTCAGTTATGATTAACATTCAGGCGTACTTTTCACAAACATGTAAATTAACACCTAAAATGCACAAAGTGTGTATGAAGAATATAATTTATTATATAAAAAATGTATTTACAAATTTAACTTATGATACAAATTATTTCACTTCTCAAACACTAGATCTGACAGTGTTGTTTTCTTTGGCTTCTTCCCCTTTTGTTTTAATATACTTCTCTTTTTTGATTTCTTTTTATTAATCTGTTTCTTAATTCTCTTTAGAGCATAACTTTGAGGATTGGTGACAGCCTAAAACAGATTTTAAAATTAGAATATGTGATATAATCTAATTTATGAATACATCAGTATTAAATAGCATAGAACTAGTATCAAACATGTCAAAGCAACATTTTTATCAAATATTGCAGAAATAATTTTGCATGAGAAAAAGGCAAATGAGAAATGTATTGGAAATATAATACAGAACATTAAGTAATCCAACTATTATGAATTATATTACTTTCAATTTATATAATTTATATAAATGCAAGGTTCCCATTCACATAAAAAATTCTATAAAACATGAGATTCCAGGAAAATATAAACTTACATTCCAAGTGACAGGGAAAACCAGACCTTTTTTCCAAATGTTTAAATTATTGTCTGCATGAAATTTCTTCTTAGCATATATTTCATAACTTTTTCCCCTTCTTCCTCGTATATAATTGAAAAGTTCCTCACATTAATTATAAAGTTCCTGCTTTTCTGTGTTTATAATTAATAAAAAATTTTTTTTCATATTTGACACATCAGAAACTATTTTTTTTTCCAATTTTGATTCACAGATTTCACATGATTGTCGGTATGAAATCTATTCATCATCTCACATTTATAATTAAAAGTTCAATTATCAAATAAGAAAATACTACAATTCACTATTACAATAATATCTCATAATTTTTAAATTTATTTTTAAACTTGACAGAACAGCCACTTTCTCACTGAATTCTATACAGTGCTTTTATTTAACTCATCTCACTTAAACTCTACTTACTTAGCTTAAACTTATCTTACTAAAAAACCCCTTTTCATAATTATTATAATAATAATTATTTGAGTAAAAGAGGAACTACCTTTGCATTTATTAATTATTGTTAATTGATTAGTGGTTGGTTTTTTTTCCCTTGAAAAGTCAACTAATTTCTGGCCAATGACAATAATTACTTTGTTTATTCATTACATTTTCAATTTTTTCTTGATTCATTTTTGATATTTCCATTAAAAATTTTTTCAAGATTTATCACTACCTTTATCAAAGGAGATAATATACTAAATAATTCCATTAGTAAGTAAATTAATTATTTAATTGGATATTCTAAATTATAATATTCTTTGGTATGTTTCATTTTGTAATTTTCTTACACTTTTATACTGAGAAACTTCCAAGCAGGAAAGGAAAGCTTTAATATATCAAAGTATTTTCAGAAACAAGGAAAATAAGATAAAATTAATTATTATGTACATACTATTGTGTGAACAAACTTGTAATGTACCACATACTGGTGTAAAACAAAATTAAATGCACATATTAAGTGATTAAACATTGTTTGAATATCCATAAGATGTTTTACAAATGACTACAGAAAATTTAGATCAAATGAATGAGGCCGGAAATCGCTAAATGCAGGAGAACTGGAATCTAAACATTAATTAATTTATTTATTTCATCAATTTCAACAAATTTCATCTATTCCTGGGAAGCTGGTCATCAGATTTTCTGCTATTTCATGTACATTAAATTGTTATTAAAATATTTTTTCTTACATTCTTTAACAATTTAAATTCATCTTAATGAATGGAAAATTGTGAAAATTACATAAAATAAGTAATTGTGCAAATCTAACTAATATATGCTGTTTAGATACAGCCCTACATCAGCAGATATTTAGTTTTAAAACATTAAATAATCTATCAAAAGGTGAAAACTAAATTATAAATGGGGAAAAGAAAGAACACATTTTTGATTATCATTATTACTGCTTACCTCCTGGGCTTTTTCTTGCTTTCTCTTCATTTTCTTTTTAAATAATGAGGACTGTACATCAGCATAAGCAGCTGTAAACTCTTCAATGCCAATGATATTTGCTAAGAGATCTAAAACTTCTTTGGCAGTTTTTTTCAGATCTTCATCTACTCAGAACAAATAACAAAACATTCATAAACAATAAATATTTAAAAAATATCATTAGAAAAATAAATACTTAAATTATTTACACTTGAACCTTTGTGTCCGCAGTTTCATTTACTTGTGGTTTAGAATGGTAAAAGGTGCTAGGGGGAATGGCAATTTCTGCTAAGCTTTATAAAGTGCAAGTGTCAACAGCCTGTAATATAGCTGAAGTATAGCAGCTCAAAAATGCCCAATACCCACTTTTTACACATTTGCACTTGAAGTGATTAAAACTAAATATGAGAACATGTTATGAATTTTATGTGTATTCTCAGGTTACAGAAACTCTTTAAACTCACAAATTCTTGAGAATTAGTAGTGAGGCTATCTCTTTCAGAAACCATGGTTCTTATAAAATTTGCTTCTACTTTTGTATCTGGTGTTAACCCTATTCTCATTATAACTAATCGTATGCTACAGCAGCTCTTCTGTTCTTAAAATTATTATTTATCACAGGCATTAATTTCTAAAATTAGAAGTGCTGGAGTCCTATGGTATATGGTAGACTGCCAGGTAAGAGAAACAAGAATTAAAAAAAAAAAAAAAAAAAAAAAAAAAAAAAAAAAAGGGCTTCAGATTTTAAATTACGTTTAAAGGGGCATTTTTTTAAATATTTTGTCTGTTACCTTTATTTATTAAATATCATGTTCTTTGCACTTGAACCATAAAATTCAGTTCAACAGCAATGTTGCAAAATAATTTTAAAATGAGCATACCTTTAGAATTTCCGATACACAGTTCCGCACACTGGAGATAAAAAGGCTCCCCCCGTAGAGTGTTGCCATAGCTCGCTTTTTAATCGTTGAGTTTGTTAATTAAAAATTCGTTAAAGTTTTACAAAATATGAAATTGATAATAAAACAAATTCCAAATTTGGGCTTTCAGATGCTAATATTCGCAGTAGGATTATGTCATTCAAAATTGGATGGCTCTAGGTACTGTTGTTTTACCACAATGCGAGAAACATACATACATTTATGCAGATTCTTCATTATTTAATTTCTTTAAATATAATACAGCGTGGCAGTATTTGGTGGCAACAATTTGAAAAGTGATATAGCCTTTTAAAGTTTTCAAACGCAAAATCACAAAACGAAAACAATCGGGGACAAAGCCCCTTTGGACTAATAAAATCATTAATAATTAAAAAAATTAAATAATTAACCATTAAAATAATTAGATTTAAGTAATTAAAATTTAACTAAATCTAAAAATATATTAAAATTTAATAAATAATTTTATTGCTAAAAATAAAGTTTTCGAGATCAAATTTCTAATGAAACTGTTATTCAGTTACCTAAAAGAAGTGCCAGATCCTTCTTATTTAGGGTCCAGTGCTTTCTGGCTAGAATTATAATTTATCCCCAAAACTAAGAAGTATTGGAGTCCGGTTCTGGTGCAAGCTCTGATTTACCACAATAAAAGCTCTTAAAAAGTTATAGTTAAGATTATATGTTATAGTTATGAAATTACTAATATTCTGTACAATACAAGAAATGCATTTCTTCATTTCTCACATATCTTTTGCAGACTAAGTTAAAAGTTCAGAAACCCCTTACTTTTATAGGTATGAGAGACTTAATTTCTGAAACTAAAGGCACTGAAGCCCTAGAAGGCCATCAGGAAAGGTAAAGACATAAATGAAAATTTAACAAAGTAGACTACATTACTAACAAGTAGTAAAACAATAAATTAAAATACCAAACCTAATTTTATTTGGGGCTGTGGCTGGAATTCTAAGTTCACGCAAAAACTAAGAAATAGCAGAGCTGTGCTCCAGATGAATTTAAGGCCAGGATATACAGTACATGTACTGTTTCAGAGAATGATTGAAATACAGTCCATTTTCCCCACAAGCACACGTTTAAAGCATCGCTAATGAGGACAGAGAGAATGTGACTGTGGAAAGAAATTTTAATGGAGAAGGTATAGGAACAAAGAGAGAAGAGTGCAATACTTGAGCACATTCCTATGCAAATGTAATTCTAGTTGTCGAGCAAAATATGGCAGGGGGAAAAGCTTTATACAATTTGAAGGTTGATCTGCAAGTTGAGAACAAACATAAGACTCTAAGTCACATTTTTACCCTCACTCCATATTTGGCTGCATCATTCTGAAAATCTACAGTCACTAACATTAGATGCATTTGAGCTGTTCATCTTAATATTTCGTGAAGTTAAGTGGACTATATGTTGCAGCACACTTACAAAAATAATCAACTTTCCTGTTCTAAATCACCAGTGAATGAAACTGCGAATACCAAATCAGCAGCTATGATGGCATAACTAATTATTTCTAGTACTTTCAGAAACATAAAATTTACAATTCTCAAACAAGCTCTCATAAATTTAATTTGTTTCCTGGGGAATAAGGTTTTGACATGTGGGTAGAAGGTTTTCTTAAAATGTCAACCTATATTCAGGGATTTTTTTCCCACAGAAAGACAGGTATACAATCAGAAGTTAGAATCAATTTTTAAGAATTAATTACTTTCCAAATAAAATTTTAGGAGATCAAAAGACATTTCTGCTGAAACTATAATTTAGTTCCACAATAGAAATTCCAAAGTCCTTAGTCTACTGCCAGACCTGGCTAGAATTACAATTTATCTCAAAAACTACTGAAGCTTGGCTGTGATACAATTTAAGTAATAATTTTGTAAGAGAGAGTATACCACATTTAGTGCATAATGTATTTTATATTACATTTATATTCAGTACATTAGCATAGTACATAGAATTGTTGCTTAATGTTAGAAAGTATCATTTACCTATTAAATTTAATTGAAAATAAACATTCTATATTAAAAAAAATTCTGATGCAACAGCCCTCAGTAAGCCATGGTTTGCAGTGCCCTTATATCTGCTTTCTAGACCATGGGCTCTGGGGTGCATGAGCATCTACCCTAGATAAGTGATCAGCTTGTCTCAGGACTCCCTGTGTTTAGTTCCCAAGTAAACTTGGTACTCATTTTATTGACTCGCTTAAGGGATGAAAGGCTGAGCCAGCCTTGCCCAGACCAAGGATCAAACCCTGGACCTGTGGTGCTCTTGCAGAATGTGCTAGCCACTGCACCACCAGGCCTCTAAGTATACTATACTAGTTTTATATAGCATTCCTCTATTGCCTATAGTCACAAACAAATCTTGAAACATATGACTCATAGATATAAGATGTACTAGTTATGAAAACCTTTAACAGGGCTCAGTTACATGTTATCACATGCTCTTAATATTATTGATCATAACATCAGATTTGCTTCACAAAGTATTGAATATACCACAAAAATACCATCAATTTTGTATTAAATTTGTCACTACCTCATAATAAAGTTCCTGTAAGTTTCCATTGTGTGATAACTTTATTATGACCATAACTAGATATCGTTTCTGTTCTTTCATTTTTATGTGGCATTTAATGAATGTAAATAATTACAATACAGGTATTTAAAAATAACAAGACCATAAAAACATAATTCATGCATCAATTACAACTTATTTTGAGTGATTAAATTATTCTCTAATTGCAATTCACTGGAAACAAGCAAGTATTTTAGAAGATAGTTTTACTAATGCATAACTGATTAATGTTACTGAAATCTTCAAGTAATACAGTTATTTATACTAGTATTTAATTAAACTGGGAAAAACAGTGATATGGTATTTCATAAAACCATCTGTTTAGTGCAAGTGGTTAAAAGCATATTTACTTCACAGAATTTGAAATACAGGTATCCTTCCTAGAACATGGTAGATAGGTTCTTAGAAAACACTGTGTTGTGTGAAATCATGTTATATGAGACTAGCAACCAACACAAAATACAGAAATGCATCCCCAAAACTTTTAAAAACAAAATATTTTTTTAATGTTTCTCACTAATGCCTCATATAAATCTAGAATTTTTCAGCATCAGATGCCTTACTTTAACAAATTATTCAAAATTTGTATTTTCAACTTTAAAAAAAAATTGTTTTCTTACTTTCAGACATGGTTAATGACTGAAATATTATTTTGCAATAATTACTCCCAAATATGACTAAACTAATTAGTAACACACACAAAAAGAAGTTTTCCTCCAAAGCACAGTTACATAATTTATGCAGCTTACCAATTGAATATTTGGAGCACAAGATATATACTGTGTAAATGATGGGCACGACACAATTTCAAAGGAATTTTGATGCAAGAAAATGCAGTATTACCTTTTTTTTTTTTTTTTTTTTTTTTTTGTGTGTGTGTGGTGTGTGTGTAAATAAATAGTTATTGCATACTACATAAAATGGCATATTCAAAGTTTTCAGAATGAAAATCAACATATTATTGAAATATATATGTTAAGAATAAGTTCACAAAAAAAAGGTAAGCGGACTGCAATACCACTAATTTACACGTCACTCTTAGCACTGTAGCAATAATAATAATAATAATAATAATAATAATAATAATAATAAAAACAATAATAATAATAAAAAGAATAGAATACAAATCACAAGTTATGAGTTGAAAGTTCGTTACCATAGCAACCAGAATTGAATCATCAGGCAGCAATGCGATCTATTGTTGCAAAGACACACTAGTAATTCGTTTGGTAACAAAAAATACTAAACAATGTACATACACAAAGTGTTATTAAGAGGGTTTACACATATTCATTAACATGCTAGAATGAAACCCTTTTGCCAAGGCTTTCCACAATTTTTTTATTATGGAACAGTAAGGCCATGCTATAAAAGGGATACCTGTATAGTATATAATTTATAAAATGTCAAACAGATAATTATGAACATTTATAGCATTACTGTAATTAATAAAAGATATTTCCAATATCATTCATGGTCTACTCAGGTAGCCCTTTAAAGCCTGTTATATTTTGCTTATAATTAGTAAGTAATATATTATAATTTAAAGGGAGTAGACATCTTTTACAATCATCAATTAATGCAACCAGCAATCCTTTTCA